CAGTGGCACAGCATACCAGGTTGTGAAAAGAAGTGGTTTTCGAATGGTTTACACTACAGTCCTTCTGGTCTTTACGAAGTCCTTAGCACTACTGTGTCATTTGGAAATACATTTGTGTTTGGACACCGTAGTGTACCCCTTACATTGTTGAAAAAAAAATCACCCCACTCTATGATAAGCTAGACAGTTGATCACACCCTGAAAGTTCAGATCACAAAGTGCCTCTTTATGCAGCTGCTTGAGCAATCAAATGACCATGGTCGTTTTTACAGCTCATGGTCTCCAAAAGCGGCTTCATAATTGGAGGGGAGGCAACTGGCAGAAAGAACGTGACCTGGAAGAACCTAAAACATATTCTAGCTTTAGAGAGGGCATTGCCATGACACCAAACTGATCTGAGCTACTTTAATTTTGATGCACCACCTTCATGCAAACCTTCAAAGAAGTGGTCTGATATATCAGGACTTCCTCCCTGATAAAGGAGAAGTGTTTTTTTCTGGCCATCAAAATACATTGGATGTCCTTAAGTGCAAACCAATAAATCAGTTTGTGCTCTTCTGTCTGTCTGGTGCTCCTTCTATTGGTACATGTGGGTTTTTTTTTCTTGTTTTAAACCTGATTGCATTCTTATTCAGGTTTCTTACGGCATGACTTTAGTTCTATTGTTGCCCCATGTTCAAGAACTTCTCATCTCTTTGGCACCTCCTGGTTGCTCTTCTCTGAGAAATCCTTCCGGATTGTGCTGGTCAATTCAAGCTTATGAGCCAAGAAGCCATTCTGTTCTTGCCTCCTCAAAAAATAAAAATAAAAACATGACCTTTTCTACTGGTCTACTTGGTTCACTGGCAAGGATGCCATTGCCCGTGTTTTTTGTCATGTACTCCCTCTAAGCCTTTAAGAATCTGTTTTCCATCTTCATGTGTCTGTAGGTGACCCAACACTTGCTAAGCATGCTTACACAACACCCTCAGCTGTATAGCTGCTCTACATAATTCACCTAGAGGTCTGCCAGCATTTCTAAGGCTCCATGCACACTAGCATTTTTTTTTTTTCTAGGTGAAAAATATTTTGGATAAAAAACTCTGGTAATAGCATTTTTTTTTTTCGAAGCATTCAGAATTGTTTAGGAGTGTTAGCATTTTATCAGCATTTTTACAGTACATGTAGAGGAAAAAAAGCTAGAAAAAAGTTAAGCGCGGTTTTAGCAGCATTTAGCATTTTTTTTTCTAGTGGAAAAACGCTCCACAAACTCTACAAAAACAATTTTTTTTTCTGCTCCTAGATGCTGAAGCTTAAAAAATGCTAATATCCTAAAGTAGTGTGTATGGACACATAGGATAACACTATTTAGCTTCTAGGAGCAGGAAAAGAAATGCCAATAACTGCTTCTAGGAGCTTAAAAAAAAAACCCCGCTAGTATGCATGGAGCTTAAAGCTGGCCATACATGGATCACAATTCAGCCGATTCAGAAAGGTCTGGCTAAATTTTGATCCATTTATGGGCAGGCTGCTTGTACAGAAGTTTATCTACCGATCAACTTCTGTACAATCACCATGTTGGATATTCCCCACTCGATAAGCACTGCTGATTAGTGTATAGTGATGATGGGGACATTTCCCCACTGTTAGAATACAGTAGCTCAACAGGGAGGATTCTTCATCCACATTCAGTGATTGGATGGAGATTTGAGTCTTTCATCTCACAACTTTCCTGGTCTGGAATCGCCAAACACCTTGCCAAAGGTTCTACAGGTGAAACTCGAAAAAGTAGAATATCGTGCAAAAGTTCATTTATTTCAGTATTGCAACTTAAAAGGTGAAACTAATATATGAGATAGACTCATTACATGCAAAGCAAGATAGTTCAAGCCGTGTGATTTGTCATAACTGTGATAATTATGGTTTACAGTTTATGAAAACCCCAAATCCACAATCTCAGAAAATTAGAATATTACAAGCAATCAATAAAACAAGGATTGTACATAGAACAATATCGGACTTCTGAAAAGCATAAGCATGCATATGTACTCAGTACTTGGTTTGGGCCCCTTTTGCAGCAATTACTGCCCCAATGCGGCGTGGCATGGAAGCTATCAGCCTGTGGCACTGCTGAGGTGTTATGCAAGACCAGGATGCTTCAATAGCGGCCTTCAGCTCTTCTGTATTGTTCGGTCTCATGTCTCTCATCTTTCTCTTAGCAATGCCCCATAGATTCTCTATGGGGTTCAGGTCAGGCGAGTTTGCTTGCCAATCAAACACAGTAATCCCACGTTCATTGAACCAGGTTTTGGTGCTTTTGGCAGTGGGGGCAGGTGCCAAGTCGTGCTGGAAAATGAAGTCCTCGGAAGGAAGCATGAAGTGCTCCAAAATCTCCTGGTAGATGGCTGCGTTGACTCTGGACTTAATGAAGCACAGTGGACCAACACCAGCAGATGACATGGCTCCCCAAATCAACACACACTGTGGAAACTTCACACTGGACTTCAAGCATCTTGCAGTGTGTGCCTCTCCATTCTTCCTCCATACTCTGGGTCCTTGGTTTCCAAATGAGATGCAAAAGTTGCTCTCATCAGAAAAGAGGACTTTGGACCACTGAGCAGCAGACCAGGTCTGTTTTTCTTTAGCCCAGGTAAGACGCTTCTGACATTGTTGTTCAGGAGCAGCTTGACAAGAGGAATAAGACATTTGAAGCCCATGTCCAGGATCTGTCTGTGTGTGGTGTCTCTTGATGCACTGACTCCAGCCTCAGTCCACTCCTTGTGAAAGTTCCCAACACTTTTGAATGGCCTTTTCCTGACAATCCTCTCCAGGCTGCGGTCATCCCTGCTGCTTGTGCACCTTTTTCTTCCACACTTTTTCCTTCCACATAACTTTCTATTAATGTGCTTTGATACAGCACTTTGGGAACATCTAACTTCTTTTGCAATTACCTTTTGAGGCTTTCCATCCTTATAGAGCAGTGGGGGGAGGAATAGTGCCCCATCGTTGGTGTCAGTGGGGGGAGTAGTGCCCCATCACTGTTCCAGTGGGGGGAGTAGTGCCCCCAACCACTGGTGTCAGTGGGGGGAGGAATAGTGCCCCATCACTGGTGTCAGTGGGAGGAATAGTGCCACATCATTGGTGTCAGTGGGAGGAATAGTGCCCCATCATTGGTGTCAGTGGGGGGAGTAGTGCCCATCATTGGTGTCAGTGGGAGGAATAGTGCCCCATCACTGGTGTCAGTGGGGGGAGTAGTGCCCCATCACTGGTGTCAGTGGGAGGAATAGTGCCACATCGTTGGTGTCAGTGGGAGGAATAGTGCCCCATCGTTGGTGTCAGTGGGAGGAATAGTGCCCCATCGTTGGTGTCAGTGGGAGGAGTAGTGCCCCATCGTTGGTGTCAGTGGGAGGAGTAGTGCCCCATCGTTGGTGTCAGTGGGGGGAGTAGTGCCCCATCGTTGGTGTCAGTGGGGGGAGTAGTGCCCCATCGTTGGTGTCAGTGGGGGGAGTAGTGCCCCATCGTTGGTGTCAGTGGGGGAGTAGTGCCCCATCACTGGTGTCAGTGGGAGGAGTAGTGCCCCATCACTGGTGTCAGTGGGAGGAATAGTGCCCCATCACTGGTGTCAGTGGGGGGAGTAGTGCCCCATCATTGGTGTCAGTGGGGGAGTAGTGCCCCATCATTGGTGTCAGTGGGAGGAGTAGTGCCCCATCACTGGTGTCAGTGGGAGGAATAGTGCCACATCACTGGTGTCAGTGGGAGGAATAGTGCCCCATCATTGGTGTCAGTGGGAGGAATAGTGCCCCATCATTGGTGTCAGTGGGAGGAATAGTGCCCCATCATTGATGTCAGTGTGGGTGGAGGGGAGAATAGTGCCCCATCATTGGGTCAGGGGGGGGGGAAATAGTGCCCCATCGTTGGTGTCAGTGGGGGGGGGGAATAGTGCCCCATCGTTGGTGTCAGTGGGGGGAGGAATAGTGCCCCATCGTTGGTGTCAGTGGGGGAGGAATAGTGCCCCATCGTTGGTGTCAGTGGGGGGAGGAATAGTGCCCCATCGTTGGTGTCAGTGGGGGGAGGAATAGTGCCCCATCGTTGGTGTCAGTGGGGGGAGGAATAGTGCCCCATCGTTGGTGTCAGTGGGGGGAGGAATAGTGCCCCATCGTTGGTGTCAGTGGGGGGAGGAATAGTGCCCCATCGTTGGTGTCAGTGGGGGGAGGAATAGTGCCCCATCGTTGGTGTCAGTGGGGGGAGGAATAGTGCCCCATCGTTGGTATTAGTGACACAAATGATGGGGCACTATTCCTCCCACTGACACCAATGATACTTACTTTGCTGACCCCTGCTCCAGCCTGGGCTCTCTCTCTCACTTACCTGTCAGCTGTCTTCCTTCTCTGGCCGCTCTCCTCTTCACTCGCTCCGGCAGCTCCCTCGGTCTTCTTCGATCTCCGCGCGCTGCCGCTCGGCTCCTCCTCTCCAAGCTCCACCTCCTCGCCGGTGATTGGCCGCCTGTGTGCCTCTCCTGAGCTACAGTTCCGGTGGCCAATCAGCGGCGAGGAGGCGGAGCTGCTGAGCGATCCCGGAGGTGACAGGAGCAGCGTATCATCCCGCCCACACATCGCCGGAGACAGCAGCGGTGTCTCGGTTCCTAAGACCATCGGAAATATGTGTTTTCCGATGGTCTTAGGCGACCCCTGGGAAATGGTCGTTCGACCCCCAGGTTGAGAACCGCTGTTATAGAGGGTGTCAATGATGGTTTTCTGCACAACTGTCAGGTCAGCAGTCTTTAGTGGTTGTGATTCCTACTGAACCAGACAGAGACCATTTAACCACCTTCCGTCCGCCCTATAGTACAATGACGGGCGCAAGGTGGTTCTCTCGTTCTGATAGGACGTCATATGACATCCTACCATTCTCACTGCGCATGCGCGGCTCAGGGAGTGCGCAGCGCGGCAATCGCCGGTCCGCTGTGTCCCTCTGACACAGCGGATCACGGAAAGAGCCGAAGATGTCGGCTCGGTCATGTGATCAGCTGTGTCCAATCACAGCTGATCACATGTAAACACGGAAATGCCGGTTACGCTGACAGCTCGAGAGGAGAGCCGGTAATCGGCTTTCCGTGGAGGGGACATGTACTCAGATCATCAGGGCACTCAGTGTGCTCTGATGATCAGTGTGGCCCCAGAAGTGACACCTGTCAGTGCTCATCAGTGCCAGTGCCACATATCATTGCACATCAATGCCACATATCAGTGCCCCTCTGAGCTGCCTTTCAATGTCACCCATCAGTGCCAGTTAGTGCCACCTATCAGTGCTGCCAATCAGTGTCTCCTATCAGTGCCAGTCAGTGCCGCCTATCAATGCCATATATCGATGCTGCCTTTCAGTGCCCATCAATGATGCCCATCAGTGCCACCTATCAGTGCCCATCACTGCAGCCTCATTAGCGCACATCAGTGGAGAAAAATCACTTATTTACAAAATTGTATAACTAAAACTAAGAAAAAAAAATTTTTTTTTTTTTAAAATTTTCAGTGGTTTTTGGTTTAAGAAAAAATAAAAATCCCAGAGGTGATTAAATACCACCAAAAGAAAGCTCTATCTGTCTCAAAAAAATGATAAAAATTTCATATGGGTACAATGTTGCATGACCGCGCAATTGTCATTCAAAGTGTGACAGCGCTGAAAGCTGGAAATTGGCCTGGGCAGGAAGGGGGTATAAGTGCCCTGTAGGCAAGTGGTTAAAGGCTCAGGAACCCTTTGCAGGTGTTATGGCTTAATTATCTGATTAGAGTGGGACACTTTGAGCCGAGAATATTGCACCTTTTCACAATATTCTAATTTTCTGAGATTGTGGATTTGGGGTTTTCATGAGCTGTAAGCCATAATCATCACAATTATGACAAATCACGGCTTGAACTATCTTGCTTGGCGTGTAATGAGTCTATCTCCTATAGTAGTTTCACCTTTTAAGTTGCATTACTGAAATAAATGAACTTTTGCACGATATTAAATTTTTCGAGTTTCACCTGTATGCAAGTCTTGATTCTGCCTGGTGAATCTTTTCTTAACACCCGGCCTTTTGTACTTCTTGTGCACCTTCTAGTGCAAAGTTGTGCTGCTTTGTCGCCTGTTGCTCCAGGACACATATGTCAAACCCGGGGGCTAAATCCAGCCCATTAGGCCACGTCATGTGGCACTCACCATCCGCTCCCTGCTCACCTCTGTCACTTGTAAACACAGAAGCCTTCTATGCTTAGACAGCTTTCCTGTCGGCGACTCTCACAGATCCATGCACGCACTTGCAGCAGGGCATGGCAGGGACAAATGACGACCAGTGATCTCTCTGCAAGGTGAGGTGGAGCTGCATACTTTGCTGGCAGGTACTAGAGTCAGGCTGGGAAGGTTGGGATGTAAGGAAGCTTTGGGGGGGGTGGGGGTGAGGGCTGTGGAGGGAGAGGGGAGAGAGGTGCAGAGATCAGAGTCAAGGAGGAGGGGTGGGCAGCCTGTGCTGCATGCTGCGCATAGCAGACCCCTAAACCCTGCCCTGTATGTAGCACACTCTTGAACCCAGGAGAGGACCAGTGTATAGAGTGACTGGCTTTCACTATATGTCAGTGCTGGTTTTTAAATGTAATTACCAACTTTTTTTTTTCTTCACTTTAGCTCACAGAGTCAGCTTTGCTTTCCCCCCAGCTAAAAGAAACAAAAGTTTCCTTTTAGTTTATTTCGCAAGAAAAAGTGACAGCTAATTCTGTGAGCTATAGTTAAGATAAAAAAAAAAAGCAGGCAATTGCATTTAAAAACCGGCACTGACATATAGGGGTTTATTTACTAAAGCTGGGGACTCCAAAATCAGACTCCCTTCTGCATAGAAACCAATCAGCTTCTAACCTCAGCTTGTTCAATGAAGCTTTGGCAATGAAACCTGGAAGCTGATTGGTTTCTATGCAGAAGGGAGTCTGATTTTGCACTCTCCAGCTTTAGTAAATAAACCCCATAGTGACAGCCAGTGAGGGAGCCTTTCTGTATACACTGCTCCCCTCCTTGCACACACTGCCCCCCCCTACAAAGAGGACCTGTCACTCATATGCTATCACATAGGGGGCTATTGGTCCCTTATGTGGTAGCAATAAAATCATAAATTTAAAAAAAAAAAAAAAAAAAAAAATGACAGTAGAAAAAAAAAAATACAAAAAAAAAATTGGAGACTCCCACATACGCAGACATTTCGGTGTTGATTCGGTTTTCGGCCACAAGCATTCTGAATTTTCAGTATTGGTTTCGGCACCAGAATTTTAATTTCCTTGCACCACTACAAAAAAGTGTTGGCTGCCCCTTGAAGTGGAAAGTCACTTGTGACCATATAATAAAATAAGGTATGGTGCTAAACATACATATTGGATGAACAATATTCCAACTGTGATAGAAACATGTAAAAACCTAAAATTGATATATATTGAGTCCAAAGTCAAGAACAAAAACAAAAGTCCCACAGCAGGTTGTAGATCAAAAACAATGGTGCATAATCTTGTACCAAATAAATTGATCCATGCAGATCCTTTGTGCTCCACCACCATAAGACAATATATTGCACTCAGCAACCATCCATGACCTCTTAATTAAAAGAAGGTCTAAGGCGCTTTGTGTCCCCAACAGTTTCGAACATCAGTGTGTATCTTCTCAATAGTCTCCCAATTTACTCCATAGCCAATATTAGCAAGAATCAGAAGGAGAAATGTCTCCTAGTATAGTAGGTTTATTAAAAAAAAATGAATAAAATCAACCACAAATGCACTCACATTAGTTGGTGCCCAATCCTCAGTCTAATACACTATCTCAGGATGCTAGCACTGCTCTACAGGGAAGTCGGTGTGCATTTCATGTACCCAAAGCGGATGTGACGTCATCGGACATGTATGTGGCTGGACACAATTCTGCCTCTACATGTTTTGCCTACTATGCATCTTCAGGAAGGTCAGTCAGTTTGTTTCGGGAGTGGGAAGGGAAGTACCTGTCTCACTGCTGGAACCCCGCGCTGTATACTGTATGTAGTTGAGGCTACATATAGTTAAAGTTGTTCTAAAGGCATTTTATGCATGAAGGTAAAAAAAAACTTCTGTATCCAGCTCACCCCCAAATTTCCCCCCCCCCCCCTCCTTTTTCTCCCTCCAGACGGAGAAGATTGATAGCAGCAGGACAGCGGGAGCCATTGGCTCCTGCTACTGTCAATCAAATTCTGTGCCAAGGGAGGGGCTGAGTCCCGCTGTCTGTGCCTATGGACACAGACAGCGGGGAATGGGAGCGAGCCTGTACGAGTGCCCTTATAGAAAGTGGCTTCCTATGAGGGCATCCACCAAAGAGGAGGAGCGCCTGCGCGGAACATTAGAAAAGGAGGATTGGGGCTGCTCTGTGCAATATCAGGTAAGTATAACATATCTGTTTTTTTGGGTTTTTTTTTTTTCCTTTTTCAATTGTAGCTCTATAAACACTTTAACACAACGTACCAAACAAGCGCATCTGTTAGTGTAGTAAATGGTTTGTACCAGCTTGGCCCAAGCAAACTATTTTAAGCCCTGGTTCACACCAGTGCGACTACACAGTTCAAGGCCATATGAAGTCGCACCCAATTTGTGACAATGAAACCACTCCAATCTCTGCCACTCAAGTCGCAGCGACTTTAAAGAAAAAATTTTCATGCACTATTTCTTTTTGTGACTTATTATTACAGTATAAAGGGAGAAAATACAGCAACAATAGAGTTCAATACAAGAGGGATAGGAGGGCCCTGCTCCTTGGAGCTTACAGTCTAGGAGGGGGGGGGGGGGGGGGTTAGTGGTAGAAGAGGTAGTAACTGTGGGGGATGGACTGGTAGGAAGAGTAGAAGATTCCATTAGCTGAGGGCAGGATAGACTTCCCTGAAGAGATAGGTTTTCAGAGATCGCCTAAAAGTGAGCAGAGTAGGCGATAGTCTGATAAATTGGGGTAAAGAGTTCCAGAGGATGGGGGAAGCTCTGGAGAAGTCCTGGAGACGAGCATGGGAGGAGGACTTCATTAAGACTTGCATTGTCATCTTTAAGTCGCATAAATGTCAGCAAACTGCACATGAAATCCCACTGATAGTTGCCTTTGAAGCCACACTGAGTGCCACTTCGAAGCCGCACAGGTGTGAACCAGGGCTAAGGGACATTAGATATGGAGATCAGTAATGTACAGAGAGCTGCAGATATGGTAGTTACTAGCAGATTTCCCTGAGGGTTCATTCACACCATATGCGCTGGGGTTCATTTGTGAGCGCTTTCCTAACGGATGGCAACCAACAAAGATGGTTCCCTATGAATGAAGTTCACACCAGTGTGTTGCATTGCATTTGTCTATCGCTGAAAAAAGTTCAGCATGCACTACTGTTATTTTTCAGCGCAGCCCAGCCATACAACGTGTTCAAATGCACAGAAAACAATATTACAAGTAGTCACGCCTTGACTACTGCAACTCCCTCCTCACTGGCCTACCCAAGTGCAGGCTCTCCCCGCTCCAGACCATCCTGAACTCAGCTGCCAGACTCATCCACCTTACCACCCGCTCCACCTCTGCCACCCCCCTCTGCCTCTCCCCTCCACTGGCTCCCGATTGCCCAACGCATCAAATTTAAACTCCTTACCCTGACCTACAAAGCCGTTCACAACACTGCCCCTGACTACCTCACCAATCTGATCACCAGGTACCACCCTACCCGTACCCTTCGCTCCTCACAGGACCTCCTTCTATCCTGCTCCCTGGTCTCCTCCTCCCATGCACGACTGCAGGACTTCTCCAGGTCCTCCCCCATCCTCTGGAACTCACTGCCCCAATCCATCAGACTGTCGCCTTCTCTATTCACATTCAGGCGCGCTCCCTCAAAACCCATCTCTTCAGGGAAGCCTACCCCACCCTCACCTAACGGCCATCCTCCCTCATTCCTCCTACCACTTCATCCCCCCCAGCCACTTCCTACTGTACCTTTACCCCCTCCCTCCTAGATTGTAAGCTCGTAAGAGTAGGGCCCTCTTACCCCTCGTACGCTGTCTGTCTTTGTTGTACTGTGCCATGTATTGTCCCCCCCTATTGTACAGCGCTGAGCAAACCCTTTGGCGCTATATAAACTCGTAGTAATAATAATAATAATAATATTACCAATGCACACGTGTGGATGTAGATAGGTGCTGCAGCAACCATCCGCTGAAGACAAAGAAAGTATGTCACCAGCACATCCAGGCACATGCCTGATGAAGGGGTGCTGCGTGGCTCCAAAATGTTGCTTCCGATGTGACCGCTGAATAAAGCTTTGGACCCATTCTGGATATTCGTGGTGTGCTGTGACATACTCCAATGCAAATGAGCGCAATACACTTCAAGGCAAGCAAGGCCAAAATAAAAAAAAAAACCCTAAATTTTCAATGCATCTAGAATGCATGCCTGTGTAGTACGAAAAAATGCAACACGCCGAGTTAACTGATGCGTTGTGGTATGGATGAGCCCTGAAAGTTATTTCAAGGGTTCTGTTGTGGTTAAGGCTCCATGCACACGGAGCGTTTTAATAATGCGGTTAAGGTTAGCTGTGTAAAGTCGCGTTAAAAGCTTGAGGGTTTTTTAGCGTTTTTGTATTAGCGTTCAGCCACGTTTTTCATGTTTGCATTTTTTTTTTACCCAAAAAAAAAAATGGGGGGGGGGGGGGGGGGGGGGGCGAGTCCAAAAATGCCAGTTTCTGGTTTGCCACGTTTTTTACAGCTAAAAAAAAACTCCTCTAGAATCCCACTAGTTCTGGGTTTTTTCCAGCCAAAAAATGTTTACAGTCTGTGTGCATGGACACATAGGATAACATGCTGGGGAGTGTAGAAAAAGCGTTGAAAGCCAAAAGCAGCTGCTGTGAAAACATCCAGTGTGCATGAGGACTAAAGAGATTGAAAAGCTGCTGTAGAGAGTTGCATAATATGTCAAGGCAACACAAATACAGCAAATAAAACATTGTATCATTCCAGTCTTTTCTCTGCACAGTAATACAAATGACAGGATGGGCAGCACAGTGGCTAAATGGTTAGCACTTCCTCCTGGCAGTACTAGGGTCGTTGGTTTGAAACCTCAACCACGGCACCACCTGCCTGGAGTCTGCATGTTCTCCCTGTGCCTGCGTGGGTTTCCTCCGGGTACTCTGGTTTCCTTCCACACTCCAAAGACATGCTAGTAGGTGAATTGGATCCTGTCTAAATTGTCCCTAGTATGTGTATGTATGAATGTGAGTTCAGGACCTTAGATTGTATGCCCTTTGAGGGTTAGGGACCTTAGATTGTACGTCCCTTGAGGGTCAGGGGCTGATGTGAATGTACAATATATATGTAAAGTGCTGCGCAAATTGACGCCGCTATACAAGTACCTGAAATAGACATCCTCCCCCATACACACATATGAATGTAAATGTACACTTTAGGGTGCCTATGCGTGAAAATATTGATTGTACCCCGTGAGGGTTAGGGACTGATGTGAATGTACAATATATATATGTAAAGCTCTGTGTAAACGGACGGCTCTATATAAGTACCTGTAATAAATAAGCTGTAACTAAGCAGATCAGGATGTGTGGCTGGTGGCCATTTGTGGGCTGTGTATTGTGATGAGCAGACTGTGTGCAGCTGTCGTCAGCCCAGCAGTGTCCTTTTCCCTATCTGGCAGCAGATCAGCGTGTGCTGCTCTCACTGCAGATACTGCATCTGCTCCTCCTGGATCCTGAGAGACAGGAAGAGAGAGCTGTTGTGCAGAGGGTGGAGATGCCTGCATTCAGCCAATCGCAGCAATCCATCTGCCCCCCTCCCCCCTCTGTCACCTCCTACTGCTCTGTCTTTTCCCTCCAAGGCTTTGCCCCCTCCCCAACCCCCCTCTCTCTCTTTGTGTGTGACTTTTTTCCTCCCCGCCTACTGCAAAGCACTGCTGGGAAGAGTGTGTAAGCAAGTGGGGACAGCCAAGAGGGAGTTCCTGCTAGCAGAGGGCTCAGAGCGATGAGACAGCAGCAGCAGGCGGCACGCAGGAGGGGGCAGGCTGTGTGCTGGGAAGTGGCGTGCCCGGGCTTCTAGATGACTGGCACAGACGAGCAGGAAGTGAAGAAGGCAAAGTGGCCCAGACTTTGGGGAGGCAATCCGCAGGAAGGACTGCAGAGCCTCCAGCCTCAGCTCCCTCCCACTCTCTGAGCTGGCAGTTTGCAGGAAGTGTTTGCTGGAGCTGCTGGCTGGTCAATGCAGAGTCATTTAGTCCTGCCTGGACTGCGACAAGAGACGACAGCTGAGGTGAGGGAGGCTTGTGTCTGTGGCTGCGCCCGTCTCATCCGCCTCGCCACATTGCCTGTATGTTGTTTTCTACTAGCCACCCCCCCCCCCCCCTTCTTTCCTTTTACATTAGTAGTTTTATTAGCTGTCCGCTTCAGCTTGTATCTACGGATGAAGGGGAACTGTATTAAAGGGGAATCAGTCCTTTATTGTTTTTGTTAGTCCTAGCTGACGAAAACAACCTGCTTAATGATTAACCAACTACTGATATGCTCATTTTCCAAATCTGAACGTGAGTAGCCATATTTTCTGATGGCAAGTGCTGGCTTTGCTTCCTGTTTGGCAGCGCCACACAATGAATGTGCTTCCTCTGTTAGCAGAAGTCTAAAGCCGGTCATACACCTTGCAATCTAATTGGACAACGCTCTTTGGATCTACTATCCGTTATATGGTACACGAGCCTCCCAGATCGGATACAGACGGAGTGGATTGTTTAGGTAAGGCTTCTGCTACATAGCTTTGGTAGTCATAGGAGCTTGTTGACACCATGTGCGGTGAGCTGTATGAATCTGCACCGATCATCGCAGGCTCACCGTCATGGTACCTAGAACACTATGTTCCCTGTTCACACACTGGGGTTGATTTACTAAAACCAGAGGGTGCAAAATCTGGTGCAGCTCTGCATAGAAACCAGTCAGCTTCCAGGTTTTAGTCACCGGTTACACTGCTGCGATTTTTGTGTGATTTCAGGAGCCTTTATTGCTACTTGTGAAGATTTTCAACAATTTCTTGAAATTTTTTTTATTCTACTTATGTGAAATTGTGACAAAACTGCTGAAAAAGTAATGGAAGCACTACTTTAGAAATCATGCTGCAGCAAATCGCATGTTAGGACACTGACATTCATTAGATGCAATTTTAGGTGCAGCTTCAATTCACAAATCGCACCGCTGTGACCGGGCACTTAGCCTGGGTTCACACTGATGCGGTGCGGTATTCGCACCAGTTTCTGTGCGATGTCCACACCGCATCGTAATCGCACCTCGTTCATACAAACAGCTGCGGGTGTGTATTTTAAGTTAACGACACCGTGATATCCGTTTGCAAAACGCAGTGCGATTATGCAGAATCAGATCGCATGAGATCCGATTCTGATGCGGACTGAAAAAGGGACCTGTACTTTTTTTGGTGCGGGTGTGGTGGGACTTGAGCCGTACAAAATGTATGGCTCAAATTGTAGCGCACAGAAATCACATCTGATTTGCACAGGAATGCGCTGCGATTATGCCGCACCTTATCAGTGTGACCCAGGCTTATTAAATAAGTCAAAGCTTAATTGAACAAGCTGAAGGTAGAAGCTGATTAGCTGCCATATACGGCTGCAGCAGATTTTGCACTCTCCAGTTTTAGTAAATCTACCCCACTGTGTTGAGGTGGATTGCAGTGCACTGTGTAAAAATACACGCCTCATTTTTCTGCCACACAGCTGACCCCATCTCCTGTCACTTCACAGGTGCATAGGAATACATTAAATGTCATTTGTGACATTTCAATAAAGTTTTTTTTTTTTTTTTTTCGTTCCTATAAACAGACCCTCATCACCCATACATAACCTGGACAGCAGCCTGCGTGTTAAAATGGCTTGGTTTAGCTTTGAGCATGAGATGGAATAGAATTGACACCCTCGAATTGCTCAGTGTATTGGGCCATGTCACACCAGCATCTCTTTTGCAGCGCAGATTATTAGTATTTACAAATCTGGGAGTTTACTTTTTTTCTGGTGATTTGTCGGTAGCTACAGAGGTGTTGCTGTAGGTGGCTCATGGGGATCGATGTAGCTACAAAATGCTGGGGCGCTGTGATCACTCGCGGCTGTGCCAGGTAACCCGATTAGTAAAGCTGACTAGTTTGTAATGAGCGGAAAACGTCAAATTGCTACAGGCCTTTCATTGGTTGATTTATTTTGTTTAGTACTGCTAAGGCGTTTTATTTATTCATTTTTAGGTGTTTTGTTTTTTTAATTCTATTTTGTTGCTATGGATTGGGATTAATTTTTATTTATGGATTGCTGCTCCAAATTCACTCCCTTTCTATGGACCTCAGGCTAGGCTCACACCTGTGCAGTTTGCGTTTGATCCGTTTCTGCAGTGCGTTTTGCTTGTTTTGAGTTTTGTTTTTTTAAATTTTTAATTTTTTCTTGTTGCTAGGCAGATTTGAAATGCAAATGCAGCAAAAACGCACTACATGCTTTTCTGAAGCGTTTCTGTTGAACTCTATAGAGCCAAAAATGCAACTTTTTCAAAAAAGTCCCTGATCCTTTCCAAAAAATGCACCGGGTGAAAACTTGGAGATTTGAATGTGTCTCATAGGAAATCATGCTAAATGGACTGTAGTGTGTTTCTGCAAAATGCAGCGGAAAACGCTTAGGTGTGATCCCAGGGTAGTCAGGTCCGACTGACTGAAATCCGTGCATTCTGTATGTGGCTGAGGTTTTTTTTTTTTCCTTTTTTTTATGTCTGGGCAGGTATTGATCAGAAAGGCTGAGTCTGTAAAATACAGAGAGCATCTCTGTTGTTTATACAAAGTAATAAAAGCCATTCTAATTGTGAAAGTCACTGTAAAGATTTGAGTTGCAAAAGATGTGCTCAGTGCAAATGCATGCGTTTCCCCTTTAAATCGGAACACCTATGTGAAAGGCTCAGATGGAAGCCGGTGGTCTCCAATTAGTGTGAATGGCTGAGATGGAAGGCCGTGGACTGCAATTAGTGTGATGCAGCTTTCCCAGCAGTAAACCTGAACCTCCCTTCTCCAGGTTTTGGCTTTGTGTCTCAGATCTGAATTGATTTTGTTTGGTTCCTGGCTAGCCAGTCCGTAGTCACATATTGGGCTTTAATTCTGCTGTCAGAGGAAAACATTATTTCTGTCTGTTTCCTCAGAAGCAGATGGACTTTCCTTCTCATTCTAGTAGGCAATTTATAGAGATCATTCTACCCTCAGAATAATGATAAAATGGGGTCATTTTGTTTCCATAGTTGAAGGCATGCGTTCCATTGTGTTTTCCATGCTTCTTGTGTAAATTAAAGCACAAAGGAGTTAAGGTGTCAGCACAAAATAATAAAGAATTGAGTGTATCTCTCTAATACTTGCACATTTCCCATAGTTTTCCTTAAAAAAAAATTGTAAGTAGAAAAATACCTGTAGATTTTCCCGAATTTCAATGTGCTTCTAACTTCCTGTTTGGACTGAAAGCACCGTGCCTTTACCACACTGAAATCCCAGCTAGTGTTGTCAGCCCTGCCTGCTGGATTTGGCCCCTTTTCACACAGGGCGTACCTGTCAGCAGATCCAGTTGCTCACTGGGGATCTTCCCGCTGACAGGTCTGTGTCCGCTCCGCTAATGCAAAGCTGGCACAGACACAACCAGCTCTCCTCTATGGGTTGTGGGATGGAAACTGATTGCCTGTACATTTCCATCTGTTATTCGATCTGCCAGATGGATGAGGAACAAATCCCCATCCATCTACGGACAGGATCGGATTGGATGCAGGCCGGTGTAAATGGACACATGTCCATTGACCTTCGCCGCTCCATAGAAAGCAATGGAGTGTCTGATCAGGTCCATGTGAAAAACAGGTGGACCCGATCGGTCCGTTCATGTGACAGGGACCTTATAGATCTGCATTGTTGACGTCCCAAGAACCTGCCTGCACATCGTGTGAAGGTAAAGGGCTTTGTGGAGATGTAGTTCTGGGGGCGCACCTATGTCAGTAGGAAGTGACTTCCCAGCAGCTGCTCATGTAAGAATGTTACAAGGCTGGCGATAATGTCACAGAAATGTTCTCGGTACAGGAACCAGGTAAAGGATAAAATGTGTACTCCACACACCAGCAGCCATTTTACAGCATGACCGCTAGTGTGAGGCAGCTCTAAGGCACTGTGTAGCCAGCAGGATGTCAGTGCTTACCTGTTTGTTGCAGTTGCCATGCACTGTGCAGTCTGACCATGCGGTCTCTGTGCAGACTTGTATGGGTTTTCCAGGGCTATATGGTGGGAGGACACACCTAATCTGTGCCCGATCTGGCAGGGCCTTGCACTGCATGGTTGTAGGAGGATCTGGGGGAGATTGTATAGTGTATGGTGAGCTTAACTTATTATAATTGTTTTGATTTGGCTGCTATAATAGCAATGAATGTAATTGTCACTTGATCTTTTTAGTATTCTCTCTTAGGCGTGTTTTTACTGCCCCCTTAAGCTGAAAAGGCAGCTGGACAATTAATCTGCTACAGCCATGGCAAAACTATTACCTCCTGTCACATTCAGCGGGCACAGCTACCATCAAACGCAACCCATTCATGTGTATGGGATCCCGTCACAACCATCCTCTAACCTCATTCAATGTAGCTATGTGGCGGTGCAGCATTTACAGTTAACACAGGTGGTGAGGATACATTTCACCTACTTCATCGCCTGTCAAATGCCTCTGAAAAGCAATCCACGTCAGATCACTTTTCAAAGAATTGGCAAGGACTGCCGCACATCTCAGCTTAGCCTGTGTTAGTAAATTCGCTGTAATGACCTCCTTAAAGCATGTGAAAACACCTGTTTAAAGTGGAACTGAAGTTCTGCCGCGAGGTTTCATGCACACTAGCGCTTTTTTGTTTTCTTTTTTTTTCTTTTTTTTTTAACTCACTGCATAAATGCTGGTAATACCATCTTTCAGGAGCATTAGTGTTTTTTACAGTACATGTAGAGTGAAAAAAAAGCTGTTAACAGCATTTAGCATTTTTTCTGCTGGAAAGACGCTCCCCCCCCAATTTTTTTTTTTTTTTTTTTTTTTTTTTTTTTGCTCCTAGATGTTGAAGCTCAAAAAATGTTAATAGTAGTAAAGTAGTGTGCATGGACACATAGGAGGATACTATTTTTAGCTTCTAGGAACTTTATAGAACGCTAGTGTGCATGGAGCCTTACAGGCAGTGAGCAGCAGGCTTTTATTGCAGAAGAGATGTGCAAGGTTTCATCTG